AATGATAGACGCATTTTTTCTCGCATCCACAACCTCTTCTTGCCTCAGTTATTATTAATGATTTTTTTTTTTTGGAACTTCGTAGCACCTAATTTTTTTTCATTTCTTTTCCTTGCTTTTTTTTCACGTACCAGCGCACTTTTAACCCATTTTGCAGTTTTTGGCCTCATGAAAAATGAGCGTAAGGGTCTTGACGTAGTGTTCTTGCATGTAGGAAGTCAAAAAAATTGCTTGAAGAAATATTTGAAGAGATTTTGGTTCTTCGTATTTTACGATTTTCGTACTAACAGATATTCATTAAACGTCTGAAAGTGATTTTCTGCTTGCAGTTTGAGCGATTGGCGAAGAAAGCGGCTGTGAGTCATCGTGAAAAAGTGGAAAAATTCAATCAGCAAATGAGCGAGCTCACCGAATTTAATGATATTCCAAAAGTTTCCTGGACGAAATAAAACGCTGTAATATTCATCTGTACATAATGTTACGTTGTTCTGCGTAATCTAATGCTGCGAATAACTGCCACTGTTAGTCTAAGTTAAGTTTTAAATCTTGCTTTGCTAACCGTAACAGTTTTTAGTTTGAAAAAATTTCGTTTTTGCTCTTTGAAATGATGAAATTTAGTGAATTTCCGACCACGAGTGCTTAATTAATTGGAACGCAAACTAAACTTTCTTTCAGATTTCCCAGAATTAGCAAGAAGAAGTAATAAATTTCTGTTAGGAAGTCTTCGAGTTAAATCGAAATGTTTTAACTGCGTGTTTGAATTCCCTGGGTCAGCTTAATTCATAGTTTCCATCTAACCAGCATTTTTTTCTTTTTTGGCAACTCGCGAAATATTCCGGCTGTGGTACCCATTGTGCTGGGGAAATGCAACAGCCCGGTTTTGGTTTTACCTGTCTAATCACTGGTCAGAGTCGAGTTGTGATTTAAATCCCGAACGAGACTTTAGAAGAGAGACCGTTATATGGCTCCAGTATCGTTCCATGTAATTTTTCACTGTCACAACTTCTATGTTTGTGTATGCGCATATGCATATTTTCACATTACATCTGTACAGTGATTCCTTAATGAATAAGATCACTT